AGCGACCCGTGCGAGTGCGGCCGGACGGCAGGTAGGCTCGCGGCGGGCCCTCGCGACGGAGGCTGCTGACCCCGGCTGGGCAGCGCTAGGCCCCGGCGTCCGTCCTCCCGCTCCCCGGCTTCTCGAGGCGCCGCCGTTCCTGCCGCTGTCCGTCGGGAAGTTGTGGAGAAACTTCTTCCTCCTGCGGGCCGGCGGGCGGGCGCGCTACCTGCTGGCCCCCAGCCTCGGTCTCCCTTCCCGTCCAGTCCTTCCCGATCCTGCGGGAGTCCGACTAGTAGTCTAGTCGACCTCGGGGCCGCTGTTGCACCCTGCGTCCTAAAGGGCGTTGGGCCACTCGCGAGTGAGAGCGAGCAGGAGGCAGGGGAGTGGCCCCTTCTTGTCCTAGCGGCTAGAGGTCTGTGTCGCCTGACGCCCGCAGCAACTGTCCGGAGCGAGGACTGGGACGTGGGGCTGGGGTGAGGGGGGGTGGGAGTGGGTGAGCGGCCAACTGTGCAAGGTTTGATTGAAAACCGCGACGTGTTTATAAAGTTTTCCTTTGTTTGGGGTTGAAGGTGATGGGATTGTTATATTCAGCGGCCGCTTTTAAGGTGCCCTGACACTCTGCCTCTTGTTGGGTTCGGCTCTTTATCCTGTGTTAATGAAAATATTGTCTGAGAGTGTTTTTCTTCTTGGTAATTGTTTCCAGCATTTGCTTTATTGGACCCGAGGAAGAGCTGCTTTAAGAAAGTGGGAATATCGTTTCTGGAATAGGAACTGCTGTAGTGAACGGGGCACAGTGTGGGTTTTTTTTTTTTTCATAACTGATCGAAACAGGCATGAAATGGTTAATGACAAAGTAAATAAATGAAAAGTCTGCAGTACACCCACAACTTTGCTGCTCTGTCGTTTGTTATGTATGTGTGTCCCACAACTGTTTTCATATAGGTGATTTCCAAGGACACTATGGTGTAGTATATTTGTGCATTTTACTGTAAGACTACTGTACCGAAAGTATCTTGACAATTGAAAGTATATTTAAACATTCTGTTTAATTTCTAAATTTAAAATGTTACAAAATGTGCATTTGTGACTATATGAACTTAATGTGAAATACTTGTTCAAATCTATTAAGTCCAATGGCTGTGGACAGAAAACATTTTGAGTGGACAGGTAAGAGAATGTTAAATTAAAAGCCGAAGTTCTTGTGTGCATCACATATGAGAGAGCACAAACCGCATGAAAGTTGTACACCAGAGGAATATTTCTTCTTCCGGCCATGTCAGCATTTAGCTGTATCTTATTTTTTGAGTACCAGCTAAACCACAGTGAAGAATTTAGATACTGGTTAACATTTCAGAGGGTCCTAAATTTGAAAAAAAAAACGAAACTATTGCCTTTGATTAAAACAAGACAGTTTGTATTCATGTCTCCAGCATAAAAGCTAGAAGGGCTCTTATATGTACTTTGCCATAACCATGGTAATGTTATCATAGCTTTAATTTTGCAGCCTGTTTTTGCTGACTTCACAAACCACAAAATTGACTCCTTTCTGTTAACTGAAAGTGAAATTACAGCCCTGACCTGCCTGCCTGGGAGAGGTATAGACTTTTGTCTTATGGTCAAAGGATAATATTAATATACAGTCAAAAGTTTGTTTTTAGTTGAGGAAACTCCAAAAAAATCATATAAATTTTTATTCTTGTGTTTATAAGTGCTGAAAGAAGACTAATGACCCAGTACAAATTAATTATTACTAATTTTTATTTATTTGTAGTTCTAAAATTGCATAGTTCCAGTGGTAAATAGCTTATTGTTATTGGTAATTAAAAAAAATCCATTTAGCTTCTGTTACCATGATTTAGAAAAGAGGCATAAACAGATTTTTTAAAAAAGAACATTGCTAGGCTCTGACACCTAGAAATGGTCTAGAAATGTAAACTTAAGTGATAAAGTTAGTATTTAAAAAGATCTACAAGGAAGTGATTTGCCTAAAAACAAAGGGAGGGAGGCAGCTGTGATAAGCATCCTTCCTTCTGTAGTAGTAGGGAAAAAATTCCCCTCCTCCCACAGGATTTCTCTTTGTAACAGCCTTGGCTGTTTAGACAACCCTGTAGACCTGTTTTAACCCTGTAGACCAGGTTAGCCTTGAACTCACAGTAATCCACCTGCCTCTGCCTTCCCATTGTTGGCGTGCGCCACCACTGCCTGGTTAGGAAAGTTCTTTTAACCTTGGGGTCGTGGATGTGTTTATCTTAACTTAATTCATCAAGTCATGTAGTTGTGTGTTTTTCTGTGCGTGGGTTTTATATTTTACGTGAACATATTTTTAAGATGCCTAGTGTAATGATGGTGTTTGGATTAAACTAGTAATTTGGGGGATAACCTGGTTTCCTGTCACGTCCTTCAATCTTTCCCCTTTTTGTTAAAAAATTTAATCATTGGTGATTGACTTTAGAACACTCCCTGGGCTCTCCTTTGCTAACAGGTTTAGGCTTTCTGCATCATAATTGCAGAAAACATGCATGTACTAGCTTGTATGTATAACTGCCTTGAAAATACCACACATTTCCAGATGTATAAGAATGAGATAATTTTGAAAAAAGTATTTCTCATAGAAATAGAAAATACTCATAGTTTTTGTTGTTATTTTAATATTTTAAGAGAAGGCATTATGCTTTACTAATTTTAAATGTAAGTAATAGTAAGTAATCAAAATGTTTATTGAGTGAATGGATATTGTTCTGTTATCAGGTACCTACTTTTGAGAAAATCAGGTACCATGACAAAATTGATATAGCAAGTCTTGACTTTCATTCCGCTTTTTCCCCAGAGCAGTAATGCTTTAAAAGTTCCTCTGTTAGTTTTGATATTCCCACGAGATTCTTGTTATGTGGTAATTTTTTCTTTATTGATACTTAATGAGGTGGGTAGAGTTTGAAGAAAGAATACACTTTTGTTGCAGATGAAAGCAGTGACCGTTGGGTTGTGTTTCAGAGACAGTGTAGTTGCTAGATGCTGCTTTATTTGTTCTGTGTAGTCGTGTGCTGTTTTAGCTATTGATTTTGTTGCTTTACATTGTTGTAATGGAGCACTGAAGTAGAGATTGCATCTGTGCCAAGTTCTTACGTCACAGGAACTTTGCCATGTTGTAAAGGTGATGTTTGTTACTCTGGCCCTGTGTGAATATTTACAGGAAGTTTTAGTAAGATCTTCTATTGTTCTGAGGGCTACATGGCTAGGTCACCTTTGTTTCACATTTAAACTGGTTTATAATATAAATGCAAGTCCTCTAGCAAGATCCAGTTGCTTCTGCTTAAAGGAAATAATTGATTCCTATTAAGGTATCTTAGTGTCTGAACAAGTACTGTGTACAGCCATTTGTGTGTGGCTATGGTAGGGTATATATTTTCTTTTTTTTTTTCTCAGCTGCTCCAGTGCCACAATTAGCTGAGTATTGCTCAGCTGCAGCTGTTGGTTGATTATGTGCCATCCAGCTCCTGTCTAACCTCAGAGGCAGATTTAGCAAAAGGAGCTATAATAACAGACGAGATAGAAAAAGAAGAGCTAGTGCTGCTGCCAGTGTCATTTGAGCAAGTCTGTGCCAAGGAATTCTTCCTATTGTCTTGGAACCAGCCAACTTGATGCAGCATATCTTGATCTGAGTTGAGCTTTACCCTTTAGATTGGGAAGTACACTCCAAGAAAGGTGGAGAGTCCTGTGATTACAAAGTATAGCATGATGTACTGAAGGCCTGAATTACAATTGTTGTGCCCAGATCACGACCCCCAGAGAGAGAACACCAGAGAGGCCCGGACTGTAATAAGCAAGGTTTAATCAGCATAATACAGACATGTTTGGAACTCATCTCCATCCCCGTTACAACAAGGTAGAGAGGAGTTGTATCTCCTCTTTGGGGTAAGCTTTTAAAGGCATAACTACAAAGAGAATCTTTGAAGATGCTTTGGCATGGGTACAAGGACTTTTGCTCCCTCAAATTCTGTTAAGTCAGCTTTCTTCTTGTTTTTAGAGTAAGGCCACTGTTCTTGAGTTAGGCCATCTTTATCAGCCTGTACCAGGTGGCTAGCTGGGCTGAGCTAAGTGACCTTGTGCTCAGAATATCCTGGGTGGGAGAGGGGAAGGCCACTATCTTCCTGGGAAAACATTCTGCTAGGAAATTTCTTCTTGCCCCTTTGAGAATAAGGGGTGAGGGTCCCACACAATGATGAGACCTCAGTGCCTCATCTCCTTGCCTAGCAGCACCCTTTGGTATGTTTTCTTGGGTTTTGAAAAATATTTAACGTATTCCACTCTACTTTAACTACTGTTACTATTTGGGGGAATGACTGGATTTCTGATGTACCAATCTACATTTTTCTTTCTAACAAAAAGTGGAAGACCCTCAAGAGGGGTTAGTTCTAGAACTAGCTACCCATAGCCTATCCCCTGCTGTCTGAAATTTGAAAGTAAGAGTCCAAAAACTTTTTGTTGGTATTTGAGAACATAAGCCTCAACAAGTACAAGTACTAGCTATACATGGTAGCCTGTATTCCCACCATCTATTGGGGAGGAGGCTGAGCTGGGAGGATTGGGAATTTAAGGCCAGCCTAGACCATTTAATAATACCTTATCTCAAAAGTAAAAGAAAAAAAGCAGAATGCAAATACACTATCAGCTATATGGAAAATTTCAGACTGGAAGATGCCATTGGCAAATTTTGTTGCCTCTGAAATGATAATCTTAGCATCTTATACAGCTATCTACTGAAAATGCAGGGACAATCAATTCCTTTTACTAATCTTGATAATACTGGGTAGTTCAGGGTTTGGCTAATTTGAAGTGGGGATTAGAGTTCAAACTTCAAGGAAGGAAGAGATAGAAGACTGAACATGCTTAAGTGTATGTTGTCATAAGGCCACTTAACAAGAGACTGGTAAGATACTCTCTTTCCTTGTGTTCCACAAAGCTCATATGACACAGATATTTCTCTTAAAATTGTAGTTATTTTGTTCTGTGGCTGTTGTCATTGACAAAATGTTTCTGTAGCAAGGGGCT